TTATTAATAAATAATTAAGGAATAACAAATGGGGTCATTGCCAACAAATCTTAATAATGTTAACCTCCCCCATATACATAACATACCCCTAGCAATGACCCCACAATAATAACAATAGATAACAATATAAATAACATGTTAACACAGAAACTGGCCGTCCAATTTGACCACATTTCCACCAGGTTAAATTGTAGGGGTGTACCGAGACACCGCTACCCACCATATCCATTGTAGGGGTGTACCAAGACACCGCTACCCACCATATCCATTGTAGGGGTGTACCAAGACACCGCTACCCACCAGTTCCAGTGTAGGGTGTACCAAGACACCACCACACCCCCAGGTTCGGAGCCACCGACGGGCTCGAACCTACCAACCACGTGCAACACTGCCCAATCCACACTAAACCTCAGGATGCCCACTTTCTCCTCCATCTACCCTCCGATTTAACCAGGCCATTCCCCGCCGCTGTGAAAAAACGGGAAATCAACTAACCTAACCAAATACAGGGAGGGTGGGAGGGACAACTGACAGGTAAGCTTAGGTTCAGTTAAAATGGCCACTTCACATAATGGCTGGTATAAATACTCCCCTTATGGCTCCGCCCTACCCAGCATGCTAGCTGTCACTAAATTCCTGTGGCTGCTATGCCTACCTCCTGGCTCTGTCAAGGCCTATTCCTCTTAGCTGCGCTGATCCATGGGCTACATGACAGGCGCACAGTCGGATTTGCCGGCATATGCGCTAACCTTACCCCAACCCCCATTAAAACACGGACACAGGTTATACTGTTGGAAATAATTTGTCCACAGCTTTATTAAATTATTAATAAATAATTAAGGAATAACAAATGGGGTCATTGCCAACAAATCTTAATAATGTTAACCTCCCCCATATACATAACATACCCCTAGCAATGACCCCACAATAATAACAATAGATAACAATATAAATAACATGTTAACACAGAAACTGGCCGTCCAATTTGACCACATTTCCACCAGGTTAAATTGTAGGGGTGTACCGAGACACCGCTACCCACCATATCCATTGTAGGGGTGTACCAAGACACCGCTACCCACCATATCCATTGTAGGGGTGTACCAAGACACCGCTACCCACCAGTTCCAGTGTAGGGTGTACCAAGACACCACCACACCCCCAGGTTCGGAGCCACCGACGGGCTCGAACCTACCAACCACGTGCAACACTGCCCAATCCACACTAAACCTCAGGATGCCCACTTTCTCCTCCATCTACCCTCCGATTTAACCAGGCCATTCCCCGCCACAGCTCAGGACTTGACACCTAAAGCTCCTGAGCGACCCCCACCACACCGGAATAAGGCCTGTTGAATGCCTTCCTGAAGGCCCAATTTAAACAGATCACACCTTACATCCGAAAATGTACCCCATCCCACCTGGAGTACCCAGGGAGCTTTCTTCCCAATTCGTTGTGTCTCACTGTTACACCGCCCCCACCTCTGATAAATACTGCCATCAATTTTTTATTAAGTCGTCCTCGACACCGAGCTACCACGGCCGGGTACGTAGTATGTCTCCAATGTAACCAAGGAACCATCTCGGACCGCACCACCACCACACCCGTGGCCAGCTCCCATAGCTGGTCCACCTCCCTCTGCCTCCACCTGATCAATTCCTTTTCCGGGACCATGCCAATATCCAGAATGTCCTGGAAAGTACCCTTTGTTACCTCCCGGAAAAATTTCTCCCCTAATGTCTTGCCACCAAAATCCCTGAAAAGCAAAACCACTCCTGCTCCACCAATTTCAAAGGAAAGCCCAGTTACGTTTGAACTGAAACGCGGCTCCCATCTGTGCCCCTTAGATATAAGAATGACCCACCAACCATGTCACCAAACCTGAAACGAAAGTAATTAGCGACACGGCATAGCCCCAAACACAAACCCATACGTCCATAGCCATTAAACCAAATAGACTGGCCTGAAACAGGACTTAAACCGTACTGACTCCCACCTGCCTAAACGTTTCCCTAGGTCCTCACTTAAAACCAGGTGGGGTGCCTCTGTTACCGCCATCACCTGGGAAGAATGGGTCCCAAAGTGCCCGGGATCCAAACCCAACATTGTCAAACACCTGCGGGAATTGAATCGTGACAGCACCGATCTGTCCCCTTTTACCAGTAAGCCACCCGGGATGTCCGGGCAAAGCTCCAAGTAGCATGATGCGCTTAACACCGGGCGTACCCCTGACCCCGGCAGGGAATATAGCTTTACCAAACCTCCTTTACCAGACACATTCGTTCTTGAACAACCCTACTGAATCGTTACCTTAACCGACTAAGGTTCGACAACCAAGTGTAGAACTCCCCAACACCTGCCCGAAGGCACTCACCAGTTCCCCAATCCAAATTGCCCCAAGCCTCCGAAAAGGCCACCGCAAGCAAACTCACTGCAAAAGTAGGGTAATACACCACCAGGCGTTGCGTTACCCAAGGAAACCCGCCACCGACATATTTCATACCTCTCCGTAAGACCCGCGATGTCTGACGGACGTGACAACGTTCCGTCACTTCCTCCCAATCAGTCAGTTTAAACCCTAACGACAATGCCACCATGCTCCTGTCCCTTGCTGATGGAGCTAACGCTGAACAAACAAACGGCTTAGGAACCACCGCAAGGTATCCCTTCGCCCCTCCTTTGACTGGGCCCCCACAGTGAAACCAACCGCCTTGTCCCACATATCTCAAACGTTCACATAGGCAGTCCCTCTGCCCGGTGCCATAGGATTCTGTATCGATCCTCCAAGCATGGCGTCTCGAAGCGTCCGTAAACAGCCCCACTGCTTCCGAAGACACCACTTGCTCCCGAAAAAAGGCCTTGCCATTGAAGTCCCTCAAAAAACGATCCCACACCTCTAAGTCCGCCCTCATGTCCGCGGAAACCCTGATATAGTGTGACGGCATCCGTATCCCGCTCGTCGCCCGCGCCAATCGTCTACAGAAAACCCTCCCCATGGGTATGACCCTGCACGCAAAGTTCAGGCTCCCTACCAGAGACTGTAATCCCCTCAGCGTCACCTTCCGTGCTCTCCCAATTGTGTGCACCAAGTCTTTCAGCTTGCGCAACTTGTCCTGTGGTAATCTACATTCCCCGATCTCCGAATCGATCTCCAAACCCAGAAAACTAAGACACGTGGCGGGTCCCACGGTCTTGTCCTCCGCCAAAGGAACCCCCATCGTCTGCGCTACCCATTGGAACACCCGTAGTATCTGCTTGCACCGGTCTGAGCCTCGAGGGCCGACACATAAGAAGTCGTCCAGGTAATGCACAACCGTGCCCCCCTCCGATTCCCGTCGCACTACCCATTCCAGAAAAGTGCTAAACTTCTCGAAATAGGCGCACGAGATGGAACAACCCATCGGCAAGCACAGATTCACAAAGAAGCCCCCTTCAAAACAACACCCCAAGGGGTGATGACATGACGGGTGTATGGGAAGCAGCCGAAACGCTGCCTCCACGTCCACCTTCGCCATCAGCGCTCCCCGCCCAGCTCTCCGTACCAACTCGACTGCCCTGTCAAATGATGTGTAAGATACTGAACAGAGTGCTGCGTCGATGTCATCATTCACCGATGACCCTTTAGGATACGATAAATGATGAATCAACCTAAACTTGCCAGCCTCTTTTGTGGGGACCACTCCAAGTGGGGATATCCGCAACTCCGCTATAGGAGGATACGGGAACGGCCCCGCCATCCTCCCCAAAAGGACCTCTTTGGCCATCTTTTCCCGCACTACCTCCGGGCGTTCCCGCACCGATTTAAGATTGGCACAAACCTGCCCCTGGTTCCTTAACCGTGAAGGGGATCACGAAGCACTCCCTAAAACCCCGCCACAGGAACGCTGCATCCTCCTGGTTAGCGTATTGCCTTAGCCAAGGCAACATCGCTCCTAACCTCACTGGGGACGCCCCCAGTTGCAGCCGAGGTGGCCGCCACCCCTGCGGTTCCACCCCCTGCATTGAGCTTACCTTTCTTGAAGCATCTGCTGGCGCCGTGACCCTCGTTGTACGTCCAGCACAGGCCCTTCTTTTGTCCCGCTGGCACAGCCACGCCTGAGGCTGTCCCAGCTGCCCCGAGAAAGGGCGCAGCCTTCTGCGCCATCATAATCCTCATCCATAGCGGCAGGTCCATTTGGTCCCACCGCATGGTAGGGTTGGCCGCCAAGCGTTGCCGAAACTGCTCATCATATTTCCACCACGCTAGGCCCCCATACGTCCGATACGCATCGCCTATCCCATCCAAGTAGCAGAACAGTTGCGCACAGTTCCCTGGCCTTTTTTTTTTTTTTCCCTATCACACTAGCCAGGATGCAGAACGCCCTCAGCCAATTCCCCAAAGTCTTCGGTATCTTGCGATACCTCCGCCTTTTTTCTTCTTCCTCCTTCTTGGCGTCCTTCTTATCCTCCTCCTTCAAGTCTAGGAATTCCTCCAAAGGGAGCAAAGAAAAATTTTCCATGAACTCCCCCTTCCAAATCTTTTCTTTAACCTCTAATTTCAGGTGACAACCTAGGGGGCCCGCAAAAGATACGTGTACGTTTTGACGTGCCGCGTCCGAAATGTCGCCACACCCGACCGCCGACTCAGCCCCCCCATCCGCCGCACCGGACGCCACTACCGCTTCGCTTACCTCGCCTCCGCTCGCCGGTTGGACCCCCGCCCCTATTGCCTTAACCGCCGTGTCAGGGGACCATACCTTTCCGAACTGTAATGGTGATTCCCCCTTTCCCTGACCATGCCTCCAATAGTGTTTTTAAATAGCCCAATAACTGTCCGGAGTGTTGTGCAGATATGGACTCACCGTTGGAGACCCCGGCCGTGCCAGGCTCCGGGGTTGCCGACCTTCCGTCCACCCGTTCAGGCTCCGGAGCATTCGGTTGACGCCGACTCCCATCCGCCTGATCCCTCCTCAGGACCGTAGGGGTAGTGCTCTGCGACCTGTAAGGAGAAGACAACCTGGGTAGTCTGTACTGCTGGGCCCCTACCCGTCCTTCCTCCCTACGCTCTTCTCCGCAATTCCAAGCTTCGCACCGCCTTGCCGGCCTAGCTTCCCTGCTCCTGGGGGCCCGCTGCTGTCCTAGTGCACTGTCACCCGATGACCCAGATGCGCTGCGCCGCCTCCGCCCGTCCTTGGACGCGGACCTCCTTCTCCCCGCCCTGCAGCTGGTCCTGGAACCACTGCGCCTGCTATGCGATGGACTCCTGTCCCTGCTCCACTGCCGATCAGCTGACCTCCTGCTGCTGCCGGGCCTGGCGCCACCGCTGCGCCGCTCCCGTCTGTACTCCTCCCGCTCCCTGGTCCCGCTGCGGTGCCCCCCGTGAGAGCAGCCTGAGGGGCCCAACCTTCCACTGCTACTGCTCCTGACTTCCCTATCCCGCGCTGTACTGCGTGTGTCCCCTTTCTCCGCTGTACCTGGCCATCTGTTGGCCGCTGCGCCTGGCTCAGATGCCCCTTGCACCCCCTGGCAGCCCGCTGGAACCTCTGCCGCTCCCTGTCCGATCCTGCCGTCCCTCCTCCCTATGCCTGGCACTGTCGCCCGTCCCGGCCACACCTAAGGCCGCCCGCGAGCTGGTCCCGCTGACCAGGCCACCCCTGGGTTGCTGGGGGGCCGCCTGCGCTGGAACATCCCGCGTCCCGCCCGCCCCCTGCCCCTCAGTGACCAGAGTGGACTCACCGGGACGCCTCACTGAAGTGCTGCCGACCACGTGTTCCTCCGCTCTCCCGGCCGCCATTCCCGCCGTGCTGGAGCCCTCCTCTGGGGTTCCTGTGCTGCCTGCCGCCATCTTGGGTGGGGCGCGTTTACCAGCAGGCCCGCGCTTCGCGGCCGTCCTCGCCTGACCGGCACCGCGGCGCACCGGCGGCGCCGGCCGCTTCCCGGTGCTGTCCGACCCTCTTGCCTCCTGGCTGGGTGCCGAATCCATACTGCTGATGGGAGTGATCATGTAGTAGCAGCTCATTCCAGCCTCTCCTGTACCTCCATGCTGTCTCCTGTCTCAGTACTGCCTGTTCTCCATACTGCTGATGGGAGTGATCATGTAGTAGCAGCTCACACCAGCCTCTCCTGTATCTCCATGCTGTCTCCTGTCTCAGTACTGCCTGTTCTTCATGCTGCCTCCATGCTGCCTGTTCTTCTATGCTGCCTCCATGCTGCTGATGGGAGTGATCATGTAGTAGCAGCTCATTCCAGCCTCTCCTGTATCTCCATGCTGCCTCCTGTCTCAGTACTGCCTGTTCTTCATGCTGCCTGTTCTCCATGCTGCCTGTTCTGCTATGCTGCCTCCATGCTGCCTGTTCTTCATGCTGCCTCCATGCTGCCTGTTCTGCTATGCTGCCTCCATGCTGCCTTCTCCCTCCAGGGCAGGCAGCTTTCACAACTGACAGGTAAGCTTAGGTTCAGTTAAAATGGCCACTTCACATAATGGCTGGTATAAATACTCCCCTTATGGCTCCGCCCTACCCAGCATGCTAGCTGTCACTAAATTCCTGTGGCTGCTATGCCTACCTCCTGGCTCTGTCAAGGCCTATTCCTCTTAGCTGCGCTGATCCATGGGCTACATGGAGAGTGCTTAGTACACACAGTAGTTCCATCTAAAAGTCTGTTCACATTATAAATCAATGGCACCACTCAAAAGAAATAAAAGATTTCTTATAAAATATTGTCTCTTTATTATGCAAACTGAAAGAGACTTGATTGTAGAAAAATCCCTTACTTGAATTAGAAACCAATTTGAAGATAGACTGATAGGGTGTTCATTTTAAAGGACAACTGTCGTGCATTTTATGTTCATCTTTTTTTTTTTTTAAGTTTATTACATTTAATGAAACAGTAACCCATGCATGGTCTAAGGTATAACTATTGAATATAACAGATTTAAAAAGCTTATATTGATTTCTAATAAACAGTGTAACTTCATATAAACAAGTTGTCTGTGTTCATAATATGCCCATGTCACAGCTAGCATGGGAAGTCCAAACTACCTCACTTGGTATGCAGAGGAAGTCCAGACAGTGACAAAACATTAAGACCTTTCCGAGCACATTAAGATGCACTTGGCCAATCTTATGACATAACAAATCCTAGTTACAATAAATTCTAGTTACAATAAATTATACTAAATGTTTACTGGAAATGGAAATGGTTAACTATGTCCTAATAGTTTCTGATAAAACATTTAATAAAGGGTGTCACGATCTCTAATGAAGCCTCATGGTTGCTGTATTAACCAAATTCCAATAGAATATGGTACAGAAACTGAAAAAAAAAAAGAATTATACTTTGGATATGGTTGATAATGATAACAATAAGAAATCTATCTTGGTCATAGAAAGCAGATGCTAACAGCACATCCTGAATAAGCTGATTTCTAAGACACAATGAATACCTATGCACTCTAATGTTGAGAATTTGCTGTACACTAGATTCAACTAGAACCAACTACACAGAAGCACCAGTAATGACAGGAACGTGGAGTTAGATCACCCAAATAGTGAAAAGGAGTCCTGTTCCTATCACTGGGCTGGGGGGAAACTAATGACATCATGGGATCAAGGGCGCTTCTACTACTGAAATCCCAAGATGGGGAACAATGTCATTTGGTGATGATGTAAAAAGCAAAGTAAATAAAACCTATTGAGAATTAGTGAAGACTAGAACAAAATATGACATACGTAATATCACAAGCTGCAAATGCTGAAGGGACTCCAAAGTTGTCCATTAGAACCACAAAAATGTTTGTGTGTCCACACCAGGCAGATTACTAACACCGAACTCAAGCTAAATTTGATCCCAAATTTTGTAATTTGCTTAAACGTGAATAAGACAACAAACTGATACAGAATTGCTTTCCATAAAACTATATTCAGATTTTTTTCAAGTTGCCGTTGTGTATGAAGAAATATATAACTTACAACATGATGAAAAACAACAATCAAATAGGATAAACTCCCAAACAAAGAATACTCTTTTTTACCCATTCAGGTTCTAGGTATCTTAATGTGAATGCAGCAATTTAAATTATTATTTTTAAACACACAATTAAAATGTAAAAAAAAATCAGACATTTTACAAATAAAATGTGATTCATTCACATATCACATAAAACCATCTCAAGCTTCAATTGAGATGGCATTTTCTTTGAGTTTGCACCACTTTAAACCTTAACTGTTGAGTGAAGAAATCCTTTAAAGGAGAAATGTTACCTTAACCCTATCTTTTAATATGATCCTTTCATAAAATTTTGAAAGGAAATTGATTATTTGTTTAATGAAGTAAATGTAAGAAATTAGAAAAAAAAATTCTCTACCTTTATTCTATGACAGGATCATTCAGCCATATACATGCATGTTGGGTAAGACAGTGTTTGATCAGTCGGTCTGATGATGTAACGGCACTGTGCAGGGCATGAAGCAGGGAAGACCATAGAGATTATACAGAGGTTCCAAACACTGTCTGACCTAAGATGCATGTCTATGGCTAAAGGATTCCTTCATATAATAAAGGTAGGGATGGGTTTTTCTCAGTTTGTGTTTACATATACTTAATTTATCACAGAGTATATTTCCCTCTGAAACTTGATGAAAGGATCATTATATTAAAAAATAGTGCTGAGGTGACAGTTGTCCTTTAAGCTTGAAAATTATTTTCCTATATTTTAACTATGGACGACATCACTTATCCTCTAACTGCACAAAGAACAATCTGTTTACATTAAAATGTAGGTCATGGAACAAACACCATAGTTATACTATGTCACTGAATCCTTAGCGCTTTCCATTTCGAATCACGAGTGATATGTTGGGGCTATTTTTTTAGAATAATTGCTTAAATGGTGTGTCAACTCTAGCAAGTAATTTGTTACATTTATCTAAGGTACAGCTGTTGAACACACAATATATGTGATCGTTACATGATTTACAAGGTGATGTTTCAGGTTCAATAGCTGCTAAATCAGTCTCTAAACCCAACATACAGGATTCCCAAGAGTGATCAAACTCGCTCACAGACGATGCCTTTGATTCAGGAGGTGATGATTCTGATTTAAGAAGTGATATATGTCTACTTAAGAATAAATGTAACATTTTTTTCCTGCTGTATATAATACTTCAGACCCGTCATCTCCCTATTCACAACATAGGAATAGCCTAAAGAATAAAGGAACGCACAAGACTTTCTTTTTCTCTACTATACCATTATATACAGATAATACAATTATATTGTCAGATTATTTTCTAGCTAAAGATAGTCTTTAAATAATAAATATTGTGCTTTCATGATTAACAAGGGACGTTTGTTTTGTTTTACCTAATATTCCAATCTCTGATTTTGTTCTTTGCTTCACTCTACTTACAAAAGCAATGACATGTTTTGTTATCAAGAAATAGCGATTTAACAAACTATTGATTAAATGTCCCTTACATAATATAATGTTGGGTGGGAATGTGCAAAATGAGTACCAAAAACATTGTCTTCATTTTGTTTTGTTTCTACAATTCCCCTCCTAATGTTTATTTTGCAGGATGGGATAGTTAAACAATAAGATGAACAGTTGAAAAACTCCAACTACTACTCAAGGGAGCTACTCGTTGCATAATTCATAGTAGTTGTTAAAAACAAAAAGGGTAACACGATGTTTGAGGGGTGGAGGGAGAGGCAGGAAGAATGGACTTTGTATAGAAAACAAATACTTCTAAAAAAAGGGATAGAAGATCAATAAAAAAAAACACCCAGCAAAAATCAGAGTAAACTCGTATTGCACTTTGTATTCTGTGGATGCTCCTTTAACACATGCAATATTTCCTGACTCATTCACTCACTTTTTTCTTTTGAGTAACTATTGCAATAGGCAGTAAAATTCAATAACAACGTTAACAAAATAAAAACAGCACATACACTCACTTTATCCGAATCAGTGAACATCAGACAAATGGATTAAATTATGTAGAATTCCTTTACAGCAGGGATTCCATAGATACAAACTTGTTTTATTAACATGTCACCAGGTAGTGTTGACAAACCATGCACTAAAGTGACATTCACCTTTGCGGGTTGTCTACATTCTTGTCATGAGATTATAAACTTGAAATGGTGCTTGAGGCATAGAAAGATGAAGTGACTTGCCATAGCAAGTTAATGTTTGGTTGGTTATACTCTAAAGGACATTAGTGTGAGGATGGCACTAGGGCATAGATATGCTCAATCAACTTGGAGTGCACAGACAAATGTATTAAAGGGCTCATCAGGAACCAGATGCACGTCTCTGGGTGATGTTCTGTCATTGCACGTATCCACACTCTCTGTACCAGACAGCTAATTTCTAGGCTAATCCATCAATGCCACAACAACTACAATCTAATAAATGCAGTAGTTGCTATAAAGGACATCATGAGCAATTGGGCATTCATTTTTTCATCTTCTACACAGAATCAGAGGGAATCAAGGGAGGCAGTGGGATAAATATATCTCATCTTTTTCACACCTTTTATATCTATGTATCTTCCTTATGAAGGATTTATATACTTCCATCATTCATAAGGATGGTACAATTTAACAAGAGGGTAAACAGAATGTGTTTCTATAATGTAAGTACTAGTGCTATAATTTAAATTATAAGTGCCACCTGCAATGGGCAAATTCTTCTAAAATGTATA